AAGACAGTTGTACTCACCTAAAAACATCACTACATAAATACCAAGACGTGGAAGTTTACGAATAAATACAATTAGATTAATCCAGGCTAGGAAAATACACACAGCGCCACACTGGTACTGCCAATCCTGAAAAAACAAAAACAATAGTGTGATAGGACAAAATATTAAAACAAAAAAATATATAATATACATTGGAAAATTTGTCAAAATCTTTTTTAAATGAGATTGGGTCATGTTCAACTTTTCTTCATATAAATTAAATGTTACAGTTGTCAAAAGGTGTCACTCTGCAGTCACCTTAATATCTTTATTACCAAAAAAACAACATTGCCATAAATTGTTTTTTGTAAAACAGCAAAACCGCAGTACAATTTAATATACAGTGGTTACTACGAAAATAACACAGCATGCACAAAGGCAGTAAGGAGTTTGTATCGATAAACGGTTAGCAGAGGTTGATGCATTTCCGCACTGCCTGAAGTGCTTACATTGCAGTATTCTCGTAGTAAAATCATATTATTACACAAGCCCTGAAGCAATGAATCAAAATAATGAGGTCACAAGTAACACTGAGAACATGTCACAAAATATACAGTCGCATAGTGATTACACATAGTGATTACAGGCTGCATAGTTAAATATTTTACATATTGATAAATTGTCGAATACGAGATCAGATTTTACTATAGATTCAAATATACGATTCAAATTCTGTATACTACTGTCTATAATAAACAGTAAAATGTTTATGAATAAATAGAACAATTTTAATAACAGTTGATGTAACATTTACCTCTCTCCACTGTGTTTCTCGTTGTATACTGCCACCAAAATCCATGACCAATAGTATAGCAAGGATGTATATTGACCATTCCATCAGGTTCTCTATATTGAAATAATTAAGCTTCTGTGAAAACATCTGGAAAATCTGAAAAAAAAAACAGGAAAAAATAAATTATTCATGACTGTTTTTTACCTAGACACTGTAAAATCATAGTAACATGGACACTGCCGATATGTCTACACGGTTGATCAGAAGACTGGATGAAAAATTGGCACTTAACACCCAACCGCCTGCTCGCTTCTTCTTTTTCAGTTTTTTTTTTTGCTAGCTTTTCAACTGATTGTTGAATTCAACAAACCAAGTGTCGCCAACCCACTGCACTTGTTTGCATTTAAAATTCTGACCAAGAAAAAAGGTCACACTGATTTATACCAGTAGTTATGGTTTTCAGAAAAGTTGAATAGACGTCAAAAGTGACAAGTACTTTTTGTTTTTATTTACCTATAATTATATGCATGCAATCTGACCCTTTCACCCTAGATTTGACTTTTAAACAATATTCTGACTTGATGTACTGCCACAAAAATATATTTCAGGTAGAGTATGATTGTCTGATTTACGAAGTACATCGATGTAATTTATGGGTTTCTTTATCTATTGTTTACTCATCACAATTTGTATGAAGGTTGCCCCCCCCCCCCCTCCCGAGGAGAAGAACTTGGACTGAGTGAAAAAAAATGAAACCTAACATGACACCTCTTATTTCTTACACCTTTATTTGATATTTCATTATGAGTTTTTGGACACTTGTTACACAGCTTCAATGCTAAAAATGGTTGAACATGCGAGTGGTTCTCTTGTAAAAGTCTGTGGATGAAACAACCAAAAGTGGTTCTGTGATCTAGGTCATGTTTTGATCAGCTGACTTTCAGCC